CTTTGATTTATACAAAAAGCTTGGACTGGCTTTAAATCTTAACCGTCAAATGTTTTGACAATTTTGTAAACAGTTCAAACATTGCGAACCATCTTTAGAAAGCTTCAGCACCAAACAGTGAACGCCGAGAAGACTTCTTGTTCCGACGGGAAATGGAACTTTACTACCGACTCATCCCCCAAAGCAACCAGTAACATCGCCTGCGACTGTACCTTCAACGCCAGTTCTGTCTGTCGTGTCACTTCCATGTATGGTGCCCATTACATAGTAAATAAAACTTTTTATTTCCGTTAACTTTCATAACAAGAAACAGGGTTAGGGTTCTGAAAACAGTTTTTTTTTTTTTGATTTTCATCTACAGAGTGCTTATAGGTCTCAATTTGCGAGGAACTATCCCGCCAGAATTCGGGAACCTCAGGCATCTTAGAGAGATGTACAAACCTCAGATCTTTGTTTCTTGATTTTACCTTAGAATAATGGATCATAGCAAAATATCTGAGGGACTCTTGGGTCTTAAGCCATCTTTGCTCTTGGTTTTTTTTTTTTCCTTCTTCCAGAGATCTTATGCTGAACTTTCTCAGTGGAACAATACCTACGACATTGTCTCGAATTCCACTTGAATTCTTGTAATCATTCTATCCAATTCAATTCAAATATCTTTTTCTTGTGATGATCGATAAAAGTTGTACTGATTCTTGCGTTTTTGTTTTCTGCAACTGACAGGGCTGTAACCGGAAACCGTCTCTCCGGACCATTTCCTCCTAGTATCGTAGATATTACCACACTTACTGAACTGTAATATTTACATATCTGATATTCTTTTCTTCTAACCAGAAACTGACGAGACTCTAATATGGATGACAAAAAAAAACTGCAGGGAATTGGAAACTAATTTGTTCACAGGACCACTTCCTTCAAACCTAGGAAACTTGAGAAGCTTGAAAAGATTGTGAGATCCTTTATTATACATTTTGTTTTCTTCTTCTTCTTATATATTGTCATTTTAGTTGTACTTAGTGATTTGGTCTATTTATGATTACAGACTAATCTCTTCAAACAACTTCACGGGTCGGATCCCTGAGTCCTGGAGCAATCTCAAGAACTTGAGTGATTTGTAAGTATAAATAAGTACAGTGAAATTTCAAAAATGTTGGAATGACTTTAAAAGTTTTTCCAATGTTTTTTGCAGTCGGATTGATGGAAACTCTCTATCAGGGAAGATACCTGATTTTATTGGAAACTGGACTCAGCTCACTAGGCTGTGAGTAACCATTATTTCTTGGATTTAATCTTCTAAAGAACACTATGAGATTTGTAGTGACTAAAATGTATAATCTGCAGAGACATTCAAGGCACATCAATGGAAGGTCCAATTCCAGCTTCAATATCAAACTTGAAGAGCTTGACTGAATTGTAAGTAAGCAAAGAGTTTCACAATACCTTTTTTCTGCATGCTTGTCAAAACTTTTGAGCTTAGTCATAAAGCTCTCTCTCCTTTATCAGGAGGATAACCGATTTGCATGGACCGACATCTTCTTTTCCAGACCTGAAAAATATGACGAATATGACACGATTGTAAGTGTTCAACTTTGGCTCAACTCAAGTTATAAACTCTGTTTCATCAAACAACATTTACATATCTTCTTTGCTTATTAACTTCATCAGGGTACTAAGAAACTGTTTGATATGGGGAACTATTCCCGAATACATTGGTAGCTCCATGAGTAATCTGAAGTTACTGTAAGTCAAATTCTCTTGCTGGTTCTACAGCTTATAGGCTAATAATTTGATCCAATTTCTCACAATAAAGTATGTGTGTGTGTGTGCGCAGAGATTTAAGCTCAAATATGATAAACGGTACAATTCCAGACACTTTTCGGAATCTTAAGCAATTTAACTTTATGTAAGTTTCATGTATAAATTGAATACATTGGTAGCTCCATGTATAAATCTTACTCCAAACACTGATTTTTAATTAACCTTTGCTGCTATAGGTATCTGAATGATAACTCATTGACTGGTCCAGTTCCTCAGTTCATTCTTGATAGTAAACAAAGCATGTAAGCAAACTAACAAACTATCACGAGGTTGAAAATTCCGTTAATCATCTGCGCTTATCGGGTCTTTAATTTCGTGATTTGTTTTCAGTGATCTGTCTTACAACAATTTCACTCAGCCACATATTTTAAGCTGTAATCAGCTTGATGTGTAAGCATTGATGTTGTTTTTATATCCGTGATTTTTCAACTTAACTTTGTCTATATGTTTTTCTAATCAGCATCATTGGTTAATAATTTTCAGGAACTTGATCTCCAGTTACCCGTCAGCTACCAATAACTCGTGAGTCTTCTTTCTCCACTCTTTCCGGTTCATAAAACCCGTAAACCAAAGAAACTTACAGCAAAGTAATACCTACTTGTGTAGTGTTCAATGGTGCTTGAGGAAGGATCTTCCATGTCCTAAAGACGCTGAACGTAAGTGGAAAATTCCAACTTTCACATATACACACCTCAAGATTCAAACTTTTCTAAGGAAAAAAAAAAAAACTGAATAAGTTTCTCGCAGATTCTTCCTTGTTCATCAACTGTGGAGGAAACAAACTCAAGGTTGGTAAACACATGTATGCAGATGACTTAAACAAGAGAGGATCGTCAACGTTCTCTTCTGACTCTGAAAGATGGGGATACAGTAGTTCTGGAGCTTGGTTAGGCAAGGCAGATGCCCCCTCCTTAGCAACAGACACATTTAACTTGATCAATGAATCAACTCCAGAGTATTACAAAACTGCCCGTCTTGCTTCACAATCACTCAAGTACTATGGACTCTGCATGATAAGTGGAAGTTACAAAGTGCAGCTCCATTTTGCAGAGATTACGTTCTCAAATGACCAGACTTTTAATAGCTTAGGACGGCGAATATTCGACATTTATGTCCAAGTAAGCTTTGCAGAACAAATAAGAAAGTTTCAGTTTTCTTCGACCAGTATGTTAGTTTGATATTCTTATTATCTTGTGCAGGGGGATTTGTTGGAGAGGGACTTTAACATAGCAGAGAGGGCAGGTGGAGTTGGTAAACCGTTCATAAGGCAAATTGATGATGTTCAGGTGAATGGAAGTACGTTGGAGATCCACTTGAAGTGGTTAGGGAAAGGCACAAATGTAATACCAACAAGAGGTGTTTACGGGCCTCTCATTTCCGCCATAACCATTACACCAAGTGCGTTTTGTTTTCTTTCCAATCTTTCTCAACTGTTTAAAATAATTTTGGAGTGAGTAAATGAATGAATGTTCTTTCTCTATTTTATTGCTTGCTGTTTGTAGATTTCGAGGTTGATACTGGAAAAGAATTACCCAAGGGAGCACTTGGAGGCATTATAATTGCAGCGAGTGCGGTTTTCGGGTTGCTGGTATTTCTAATCCTCAGGCTTACAGGTTACTTAGGTGTAAAAGAGGTGGATGAAAATGGTAAGAAAGAAAACATCATTCTATTGTTCAAGAAATGTTTCAAGATCTGATTGTTTCTTTCGAATCTTACCTTTTTGTTATATAAGAGGAGCTTCGGGGACTTGATTTGCAGACAGGATCGTTCACATTGAAACAAATCAAACGTGCCACTAATAACTTTGATCCAGAAAACAAGATTGGTGAAGGAGGTTTTGGACCTGTTTATAAGGTGATGCATGATTGCTTTTGTTTTAAAACCTTCCATGTTCTTTAAGTTTGATTATCTTATTAATAGGTTTTGGTTATTAGGGTGTTCTCGCTGATGGAATGACCATCGCGGTGAAGCAGCTTTCATCAAAATCTAAGCAAGGAAACAGAGAGTTCGTGACTGAGATCGGGATGATCTCTGCGTTGCAACACCCAAATCTTGTAAAACTATATGGTTGTTGCATTGAAGGGAAAGAGCTTTTGCTTGTGTACGAGTACTTAGAGAACAATAGTCTCGCTCGCGCACTCTTTGGTTAGTTTCTTTATCTATATGAGAAAGACAAGTTCTTGATCTTTAAGCTAAAGTCTCTTGTGGGTTATTTTAACAGGTACAGAGAAACAGAAACTTCACTTGGATTGGCCAACAAGGAACAAGATATGCATAGGTATTGCAAAAGGATTGGCTTATCTACACGAGGAATCAAGGCTGAAGATTGTTCATAGAGACATAAAAGCGACGAATGTGCTTCTTGATCTGTCTCTGAATGCTAAGATCTCTGATTTTGGTCTAGCTAAACTCGACGAGGAAGAGAATACACATATCAGCACAAGGATTGCAGGAACAATGTGAGTGTTCATTGCTTTTCTTTTCTAAAATTCATAGCGACCGGTTAACACTTACAGACTATATATCATTGCTGCAGAGGTTACATGGCTCCTGAGTATGCAATGAGAGGTTACTTAACAGACAAAGCAGATGTTTACAGCTTCGGTGTTGTCTGTTTAGAGATTGTTAGCGGGAAGAGCAACACAAATTACAGACCAAAAGAAGAGTTTATTTACCTTCTTGATTGGGCATATGTCTTGCAAGAACAAGGGAGTCTCCTAGAACTCGTGGATCCAGATCTCGGTACCAACTTTTCGAAGAAAGAAGCAATGAGGATGTTGAACATAGCTTTACTATGCACAAACCCATCACCAACATTAAGACCACCAATGTCATCTGTTGTAAGAATGCTAGAAGGAAAAATCAAAGTCCAACCACCACTGGTGAAACGTGAAGCAGACCCAAGTGGTTCGGCTGCAATGAGGTTTAAGGCCTTTGAGCTTTTGTCACAAGACAGCGAGTCGTCACAAGTCTCGACCTATACAAGAAACAGAGAACACAGGAGCTCTTCGTCAATGGACGGTCCTTGGGTTGATTCTTCCGTCTCAGAGCCTAGCAAAGATGTTAGTCTACAACAGCAAGAAGAAGGAAGGTCATCAACTTCGTCAAGGGGACTGTTAGATGATCTTAACAATGTGAAGATTGAGTATTGAATTGTGTAATTCAATCTACAAAAACAACAGTAGTTACCAACATATCCTTTTCTTTTTTTGTTTGATTTAATTTACAACTTTCACAATTGAAGTGTTGCAAGAAGATTTCTTTTCAGGTTTCTTATTACGCTCTAAAATTTCCCTGCTGACTGATGAGTTTGATTTACTATACAATTGAGTCTGTTGACGAGACTAGACAAACCAAAAACTTGCCCTTACATATTTTCAGAACTCATAAGCATTGTTAATCTGAATGGAGAAAGAAGGTCGAGCAACGTTTGGAAGAGGAGTATCAGCTCTAACAACTATTCCTGTTCGTCCAATGTTCCCATTCCACTTTGACCGACCAAACTGCGGTTTTAGAGAAAAATCGAAATGAGAGCGAATAACAGCGAAAATGGGTCTCAATTAGAGAAACAAAAGAACGAAATATTAGCTTACGGAAATAGATGCAAATGCTGAAGGATGGGCTGTGAATGCACAGCCACATATCATATTGATATTATCGTTCAATGAGTGAATTACTTCGGTTCTCATCCCGGGATTGCTTCCACCAAATGTAGAGCACATGCTGCTTCCGTGTTTGTGAGTTCATAAGAAAAGGGAAAAAAAGAAGTGTTTTGATTCGAAAAGAGAAAGGCTGTTTCTATTTACCTAAGTTGAATTGCAGGTTTCAACATGAGACCGGACCTACGCCAAGCCAAGGCTTGAGAAACACCCAATGCAAATGATTTGTCAGGCCAATTGACCATTGGTGTGATTCGTGTCCCCTTTTTACTCTGTTTCGTCAAAGTCGAAAAACGAATTTTCAGCACTTGAATAAAGGAACTGTCAGCGACAAATACTTGATCAAAATTATTAACCAACCTTGCAGGAGAAACTATATCTCATATCTCCTGGATATTGACCTTGCGCTTGAAGAAGACCGCCGCATAAAGGAACAAAGACACTTGTCGTCAATCCCTCACCAGATACATATGTTAATTGTCCATTAGGGAATTGCAAGTCTACAAATGACTGTTTCATGAGCCGGAAAAAGACAAAGCTTCGAGAATTAGTTCCACTATGCAAGAATATGAAAAGGAAAACAAACACACAATTACAGTGTTGAAAGATTTTAAAGACACTTACGCAATCTAAAGGATTGAGGCAGAGCATAGACATCATAAGCCATCTTCGATGCTTTGACCACACAGCTGGACACAGTGAATGCATACCTTTCTGAAAAGAGATTTACCATATGAGTATTACCCGAGTTTTGAAACATTAAATAAAACTTTGAAATGTGAAGACTAACACAAGTAACATAATCATACTTCCATTGAGACAAAAGATAATAAGGTTGACGCATTAAGCATACCTTTCTGTCATATCCATACCAGAGCAAGTGTTGCTTTGATAAATGAACAGGTAACATAAGAGTTGAATCGCGGAGAAATAACAAAGGTCCGAGCTGGAGTAGAAAGAGAGACGAGCTATCATCTCTTGCAGGGGTACTTGAAGTAGAAGCTTCTACTCTCCAAAGATCTCCCCTGGCTGCTAATGAATGTTCCATACCACTTGTTCTACTTTCATAACTTGACGATAGCTCAACCATTCCCTACAAGGAGCAGAAACTGTAATCTGTAAACAAATTTCACCCTTGACAGAAACTCCACTGTACTTGATTCACAGTGTCAATAGATTCTTACTGACCAAAGCCACAGCTTGGTTACATCCTATTTTTACAATATTTCAATAAGCAAGCATCTAAATTCTCAAACTTTGCATATGCTCATACTCAAACCTTTAAGAAATTCAATCTAGATAACTCTACAGTTATATACAAAGTTAAGGCCACTTTGATCAGTAAGAAACAAAATACAAACATGAAAACAAGTACCTTTGGTCTCTTATGTAATCCAATAGTCCTTAAATCGAAATCTGTAACCTTCTCCTCCAATATACTAACAGAGGAAGCAGTATCTGTCTTAGAAAACCCTGAGTTCTCTTTGGTGTCTACATAAGCCCTATGGCTCCTCGTAGCAGTATCTCTATCGGTAGAAACAGACGCGTTCTCATCGTGCGAAAACAGTATAGGCAACCTTCTGAAGAATTGATGAACGATCACATTTAATCCAGCGCCAAAATCAACACCAGCTTGACCAATCTTGTTCCCAATATCGACAATCGCGGAAACGCCATTGATGGGTTGGTCGATGAAGAACTTAGAATCTCTAATCCCGAAATGCTGACTTGGGAACTCGAGATCGAATAGCTTCGACGGAAATGAAGGTGGGTTGATATGAATCAAACCGTTAAAGCCCTGAGCAAGTCGACCAGCTAGGTCTTGCCCATGTCTTTGAACCTCTTCCCATGCTTCCAAAGATCTTTCCACAGACATTGTTTCTCCGGTGTTCAAATCCACATGCGAGACAAAAAGGATTAAACTTTGCAACTAAAAAGGTAAGAACTTGAGGTTTAGGCAGTATAACTCCAAATCTCAGAAACTTGAATCGACGTAAAGAGTGGGATTAATAAGAGGAGAAGAGCCACAAAATTTACGATATCCACTCACACTGTAATCAAAATTTGGGTTCAACAGAAATTTAAAAGCTGAGACCCACAGAAAAGTTTGAAAATTTATTTATCTTTTCTTGGCGAGTTTAAGAAAAAAAAAAGAAAAAAATCGAATGTATGGAGATGCTATGGAATCTAGCGAGTGAACTTCAAAGCGAAGAAAGTGATTTTTGAAAGATGCACAAAAAAATCAATCACCTTACCGCCACGTTTGATAGCAATACCTGTGGCTCTTGATGATAGGCTTGTTTGTCAGACGAGCCTTTGTCTCTTCCGAAGACCCATTCGTTCCATACTTATCCAGAAAGTTTCTGACTCAGCTAGAAGGTTTACTACACTAAGGGTGGAGCTTGTTTCTGTTAAAATATGTTGTGGGTAAAAAAATATTATTGTCTGTACAACTTAACTGTAATAGTCCTATTTCATAATAGTGGAAGTGGAAGTGGAAGTGAAAACTCTTCTTCATGATAGTCTTTTCTTTGTTCAACTTCCATTTGCAAGAACACTAAATTGATCTCTACTACAAACAAATCTTTGATAAGGTGAACTCATGCCAGAGGGGTACAGATAGTTCGGCTTAGGTTTTGAATCTCTGTCAGCAATCTTGAGACTGAGTCTTGTACCTCTTGAGGAACTTGCAGCTTTGGATGAGTCAAGTCCAATGGATATAGTGTGATGACTTTCATCACAACAGACAAGTGCAGGTGCTTTGTTTTGCCATCCCATACACTCTGGTTTGGAAACTTGCACTTCTCTTTTAACACGCATTTATTGCACACCTATTATGCAAAAATGAAATGACTTGGTTAGACACAGTTGGGGAGTTGCAAAATGAGATAAAGACAGTGTCGTGTGTGTATATACATAAGCTTACATTATTCTCATGGATATCGAAAAAGTTGCGCAATGTTTTAGCAGCAAATACTGCCCTTTTTTCCAAACTCGGGCAACCAAAGAGCACAATCTTTTTCAGGTCGCTACCTGATAACCACCTGCAAATTAAATCTGAGGTTATGGAATACTGTCGAATCAGTAATATGTATGACTTGAGACAGTCAAATCTTCGATATGTTGTCGGGAAAAGATCAAATCAATTCAAACTGCCTAGCTGCAACAATAGGTAAGGGGAAAATAAAATGCTGCACGGACTGAGGCAATCAAGACCATACATTTGAGGCATCTAAGAATGTAGTAATCACTTCTTACATCAGAATTTCTCTACCAATATGACAACTAGTCTAAGATCGAAACACAAGACATCCATCACAAAGGATTCCACTAGAACTATCACCGAACCCCTCTTTTCCCAACTCCACTATACTCCCCAATAAATTAAGCATACAGAAATACAAACTCTAAGCAGTGTCACAGTGTGTAGTAGTGAACTGCGTACTGAGAAGTTTTCACCTGAACATGCCCAAGTTTGTCATCAGAGACCCATGAAATTTAACAAACATTTCTCTTAACTAATCTAATCTTTAACCACCAATTATCCAAACAACAATTTAATTAAGGGCAAATATAATGCTGCAGGGTAAGGCAATCTAGACCATCGCAATTCTAAAACTAAACAGTCGACAACAATTTGAAGCATCTACAAATGTATTTAATCACTTCTTACATCAAAATTTCTCAATCAATGCTACAACTAGCCTGTGATCGAACCACAAGAATTCAATTCATCACAAAAGATTCCTCATTCCGAAAAAAATTAGCACTGAACCCATCCTTTTCCAACCCCAAACCTATGCTCCACAAGAAATGTTACATATACTCTAGAAATGAACTAGCAGAATTGCATACAGACAAGTTTTTCAACTGAACATGAACATTTTCACACACATCTTCTCTAAACGAAGCCTAAGGAACATCAATTATCCAATCTTGTAACAATATAACAGAACAAACACAATATATGATCAATATACAAGTAGAAAGATTCTTACTTTGCTATTTCCTGGTAATCCTTTCCAAATTTTTCCGCAGCAAACTTAACAAAAGTTCTAGCATACTCTTCATCAAGATTCCCCATGTCCAACTTTTCTCCAGTGATGAAATTAGCCTTGTTCAAATACCCTTCTTTATGCAGAAGCCTCACAAACGACACCATCTCTATAGGAAGCTCCTTATAAACCCTAATCACATCCTCCTGTTCCCGACTACGTTTCTTTACCTCCTTCTCTTCATCTCCCTTAAACAACTTGAAAAGACTATGCCTTTTCTCAGTTTGCTCTGAGATCACGACCTTCTCCTTCTGTTTCTTCTTTCTCACAGGTTCCAATTTCTTCAGTTCTATGAGTTTCCTCTCCAATTCCAAAAGCTTTCTCTTCAATTCGTTGCCTTGTACTTCTTCTTCTTCGAATTCGCTCGTTTCTGATTTAGGTCTCAATCCAACAGCCTCTTCGAAAAAAACAGAGAGTGGCTTCTTATGAGCTTCCGAAGTTAAGTTTCTGGAGATAATCAAAGGCGAAACGTACTGTGGTTTCTTCAATAGAGTCTTAAACAATGTCTGATTTTTGAGAACTGATTTGAGCAGAATCGCCATGGCTTCAGAGGGTAAGCTTGAGAAATCAACCAAAATAGGAACTTTGGCTGAAGATTCACTGATTAGTAGTAGTAATCAATAAGCCCCAGCCATTGAAGAAGCTCCTGAGATCTTCTGACGCTCAGAAGGGTTTTAGAATAGAGAGGGGTCTTGATAGAGAGAGGAAAAGATTGTCCAAACCGGATACCGGTTTAATTTAGATTTGTACCGGAGATTTTTGAAAGAAGAGCAAAAAAAAAAAATCGGACCACTTATCGAGTTAAGCGTGTCATCCTTGCACAGAGGCCATGCTAATCTTCTCTAGCAAAGGTGACAATCACGTTTTCGAGTCTATTGATTTATAAAAACTCGTTTAACTGGTAAGATCAGCAGGACATTGATATAGAACAAGATTTGAATCTGGGCTATCTACTATATTGAGTAAGCCCAATAAGATATTTAGACAGGCCCGTTTAAATATGAAAAGATTGATATTTATTTATTTTCAAAAATATCAGCTTGTGTAAGATGAAAAGAACTAATGAATTTTATTTCAGTATTCCCAAAAAAAAAAAAAAAAAATCTAGGAAATCTTGATAAGAATCGTAGATCATTTCACATGCATCAAACAGCTTTTTATTTATTTTCTCAGTCACATGTATCAAACTGTTTTCTTCTGATCATGCATTTATATTTATACATATATATATTCATGTATCTGGCCAGTAATAATAATGTAATACTTATATCAGACAATTATAAGATATGTAAAACCAAATTCTTCTGTAACCAATCTAGTCGAACCATGTGTGTTCTGTTCACGTTATAGCTAAAAAAGATGCATTTTGTATCCTGATCGACCTGCCGTTTCTATCAAAAAAATGTGTCGTTTTCGTGTCGTTTTCTTTTTGTTTTGAATTAGGTCTCTTTTTTTATTTATACGCCTCACAAAACAAAACTACGAAGCAGACCAAACCTTAGCCAACCACGTGGCTGACTCATACACCATTAACTAATTCATTTATCACCTCTGCGTCGTAAGATCTCACCACGTAAGCTAGTTTCACCAATCCGATAAGTTTTATTTATTTTTTTATACACTAGAAAACTTTTTAATGGGTACAACAATTTTTATTACTTGTTCAACTGCTTCGTTTCTGGACAAGTGAACATGGTCTCCATTTTTTATTTTTTTCTTCAACAATTTTATAAAAAAATTTCGAGCTTCCAAGTTTCAAGACCATTTGTGTTACTTTTGACTTTTTTAAAAAAAATTGTGTATTTTTTATTTCCTCAGTTTAATATGCTAGTGAGCGCAAGACACGAGTCTGTCTATGTACCGGTCTGAGTAGTACGTCGTCGTGAATTACTGAATTGTTTTAAAAAATGATTCAGAAACGAAATAAAAATTGGAAAATGATAATATCACCTGGTCCATTACTCCATGTTCGTCTTCTTCCAGTACCAAAATAAATTATAAATACTAATCTATTTTCTTATCTAGGTTGAAAGTTGAAACATTGTCTTTTAGCCTACAGGCAAGATCATCACAATCTCACATGCTTCAACATTTATCAAAAATTAAAAAGATTTAAATATCCTTCTTCATTAACTCACTTGTTGTAGTAATCAAGAATCAACTTTTCTTTTTCCTCTTTCTCAGAACAAAAAAAAGAAACCAAACTTTTTTAACTCTTAAAACAAAAATCCAAACTTTGTTCTTTTTGTTTACTACACGACCAGAAAGTTTGATTCTTTCAAAAAAACATGGCCGTTGATTCGACTGATCAACGGCGAGATTTTGTTGTCAAGATCGACGGTGAAGAAAATGGTGATCCTGAAAAGTTTTGGAGGGAGTCGAGCATTAACTTCTGGCACGATGATAAGAACAGTAAACCACCGGGAGGTCAAGAAGACGACGGAAGCTTTGATTTCATGCGGCGGAGTAGTGACAAACCAGCAGAGGAGCCAGATCCACCGTCCAAGCTCATCAATCAATTTCTGAACAAGCAGAAAGCTTCCGGCGACGAAATCTCTCTCGACATGGAAGCTAACATGCCTGAGCTTCAGAGCAACACGATTTCTCCGGCACGTGTAACTGTGGTTTCCGGTTCTGCGTCACCGGTAACGGCGACGGCGAGTAATTATAACGGGCCCGTTGATGCGATTAGACGGAGGCAGAACAGGGTCACGCTTTCTCCGTCTGTTAAAGATAGTGATAGTAGCGACGAAGATGAAAACAGAGTAGATGAGTCAGAGGTTGTCAAGTGTAGCTCTAACAGATCGACGATGAGGACTAAGACTTTGATGAAGACGAAGACGAGATCCAGATTGATGGATCCTCCGACTCCGACGTATCCGGAGATGGTTTCGGGTCGGACTCCTAAATCCGGGCATTTAAAACCCGGTTTTAGTGGCAGAAACACTAAACCGGGAACTCCCAACCAGGGAGGAGCCATGGATTTGGAAGAAGAGGAAGATCCGTTTTCCGAGGAGGACCTACCCGAAGGTTTTAGAAAGGAGAAGATTTGTGTTTGGGTTATCATGGAGTGGATTTTTCTGATTCTGATCATTGCTGGTTTGATTTGTAGCTTAGTGATACCTTTCTTGCGTGGCAAGACACTTTGGGACCTTGCTCTGTGGAAATGGGACGTGATGATTCTTGTTTTGATTTGTGGGAGATTGGTTTCGAGTTGGATTGTGAAGCTATTCGTCTTCTTCGTTGAAAGCAATTTTCTTTGGAGAAAAAAGGTTTTGTATTTCGTTTACGGAATTCGAAAGCCGGTGCAGAACTGTCTCTGGCTAGGGCTTGTGTTGATCGCGTGGCATTTCTTGTTCGACAAGAAAGTTGAAAGAGAGATGCGAAGCACAGTGCTTAAGTATGTGACTAAAGTATTAATCTGTTTACTCGTTGCTGTTGTCTTCTGGCTCATAAAGACTCTGCTGGTTAAAGTTCTTGCTTCATCTTTCCATATGAGTACTTACTTCGATCGGATTCAAGAATCTTTGTTTACTCAGTATGTGATTGAGACTCTTTCGGGACCTCCTCGAGTTGAGATTCATATAGAAGAGCAGAAAGTAGCAAACGATGTAAAGACCTTGGAGATAGCTGGACATAAGCTATCTCCTCTAGGTCCGAAGGCGGTTTCTTCTTCACCACAAGTGACCCTTGGAAGTGGAAGGCTGCAGAAGAGTCCGACCAGAGTGGGGAGAAGTCCAGTATTATCGCGGTCTGGTTCTAAGAAAGAAGGAGAGGAGGAAGGGATAAGAATCGATCATTTGCAGAGAATGAATACTAAAAACGTATCGGCTTGGAAAATGAAGAGACTGATGAATGTTATAAGAAAAGGAACTCTTTCTACTTTGGATGAGCAGATACAAGACACGACGACTCACGAAGATGACAAAGCCACACAGATCAGAAGTGAGTTCGAAGCAAAACTTGCAGCTAGGAAGATTTTTCAGAATGTTGCTGAACCTGGATCCAGGTACATCTATACTGTACATTATGATCTTATGAACAGCTTTAATTGATGTTTATTAAGATCAAGATTAAAAACAGAGGATTTTTTCCTGGTCTTAGGTACATATATATAGAAGACTTTATGCGTTTTCTGTCTGAAGATGAGTCTGAAAGAGCCATAGATCTCTTTGAAGGAGCTTCTGAAAGTCACAAAATCAGCAAATCTTGTCTGAAGAATTGGGTGGTAAGTGTTTAGTTTTAAATTCAAATATCAAAACTTCAAAAGCTTCCTTACGTATGAAAATGATGCTAAAGTCTTATATATTTCTTTAGGTTAATGCCTTTAGAGAACGAAGAGCACTAGCTTTAACTTTAAACGATACAAAAACAGCAGTGAACAGGCTTCATCGAATCATCAATGTATTGGTCGGCATTGTGATTTTTATCATCTGGCTTCTCATTCTTGGAATCGCTACAACCAAGTTCTTGCTTGTCATAAGCTCTCAGCTTCTTCTTGTAGTCTTTGTGTTCGGAAATTCATGTAAAACCATCTTTGAAGCTGTCATCTTCGTCTTCGTTATGCATCCATTTGATGTCGGTGACAGGTGTGAAATAGACGGTGTCCAGGTTTGTTCCATGAAACTCTGTTTCTGCTTTTACGCCAACTCAAAACACTTCAAGAAAGAGCTAATCCTCTGTTTTTATCTTTGTGTATATAGCTGATTGTTGAAGAGATGAACATTTTGACTACTGTCTTTCTTCGATTTGATAATCAGAAGATTGTATATCCGAACAGTCTTCTCGGCACAAAACCTATAGCTAACTATTACCGCAGTCCCGATATGCAAGATGCCATTGAGTTCTTTGTCCATATAGCAACTCCACCTGAAAAGACAAGCGCCCTAAAACAGAGGATACTCAGGTTAGAAGCTAAAACCCTAAACCCTTTCATCCTAATTTTGATATAAAACATCGCCTAATATCAACTTTTTTGTGTTAATGCAGCTACGTGGATAACAAGAAGGATCATTGGTATCCATCGCCGATGATTGTGTTCAGAGATATGTGTGGATTAAACAGTGTAAAGATCGCAATGTGGCCAACACATAAGATGAATCATCAAGATATGGGAGAGAGATATGTAAGGAGGGGTCAATTAATTGAAGAGATTGGTAAATTATGCAGAGAATTGGATATCGAATATCGGTTATATCCTCTTAACATCAACGTCAAAAGTCTCCCTGCTCCTACTCCGATCACTTCTGATCGCGTTCCCCCGAGCTGGAATCAACAACAAGGTGTTTGAAGATTCCGGAAAATTTTGAGTTTTGGTGTTTGTATTTGCAGTGAGTGAAAAAGAAAGATTCTTTCTTATTGCTTTGGTTTTCTCTTTTACTGTTTTTAAGGACTTGAGGATTTTTCATTTACATTGTGAAAGAGGATACTGTTTTTTTTTTTTGTTTTCTTGTGTATATTTGTGTTTGAGTAGTTATAGTCACCATGAAATAAAAAGCTTACGGGATTTGAATTTTGATTATGTATGCTGTTTCTAATGAAGGATCAACAATGAATCATTGTCAATGATCATTAAACTTGGTGGGAGAGTCTTCAGGCTAGTACCAAGTTACAAAATAAGGCGCGACGTTGTTTCTAATCATAAAAATATTAAATAAGCCTTAAAAGCAGCACGACATCGTTTGGTATGATATTATTTGCTAACAACGGTGCTAAAGTCATTTTTTCTACTGCTCATTATTTCTGGAAATTTGAAATCGTTGTTTCTCGCGCCGCCATTGAAATCAAGAGGGAGGGAGGTTACGATCCTTGTCATTCTTGTGTTTTCTCTCGGATTTGCATCTGCTTCTTCTTCATTTTACGATTTTTGAGATCCTTCGCTGTGGTTTTTAGTGGTGTTCATCAGATTCCGGCAGATCGGTTAGCTCAATCGCCGTCAATTTGTTGTTCTTCCTCACTCTGTGCGACGCGTTCTCTTTATCGCTCTGTCAAAATCGCAGGTAGATTCTTCAATTGCTTCTTAGATCTTCACATTCCTGATATGAATTTCGCGTTTAGACCTAAGATTTTGTTCCAATTTCGAGGTTTGTGTCAATCTGAACTTGTAGAAATCAGTAAACATATTGTCTCCGATTCGGTAGAAAACTCCCATAGATTAGTCGGCATCTGTTACGTCGATTTCATCTCTGTGTTCTGGAATCCCTAATTTCGGGTCTTATGCAAGTCAAACAGTTTGCAAATCTTCAAAATCGGCTTCGTAATCTCTACTTCGCGATGGTTTTTAGCACATCTCTGGAATCTGTGCAGATAGTGCCCAATTTCTAGGGATTTCGTTTTCGTTTATATGTCTTCCTGATCTTAGATTATCAAGGTGCCTGTAAGTTTTGGAACTGGTTTCCATCGCTTTGTATTTCCATCAACAAGTTGTACCAATTCGTGTTTGCAATGTAACAGTTTTCAGCATTTAGAATGACTGTAGCTTAGTCAAAATCTGTATAGTGGAAGTTTTGACATGTTGTACCAAATCTTGATCTCAACGAATTTAGTTCTATGGAGAATGGAAGTTTCAATGAGAGTATGATTCTTCAGCTTGTTTGATATGAATTTTAATTTTCAGGTGCTTAGCAGCTTGAGATACTTAAATTAGAGGTTGACATGAGATGCAATGCGTGCTGGAGGGACTTGGAGGGCAGGGCCATTTCCACTACTTGTGGTCACCTATTATGTATTCAATTTACACTTTCCACTTTTCTTATGTGCACCTGTTTGTGTTCCTTAGCAACACTTGTGAGTTTGAATAAGATGACCTTAACACTATGAAAAGGCACTGAAGATGCCAGCAAGATTCTCAGTAATGATGGGGCATGTCCCATTTGTGATCAAGTACTCTCCAAGAGGTAAATCTTCTCTAAGCTACTTGCCTAGTTTCAGTTTAGCCTTATTCGCCTTATTCGCCTTATATTCTACTTGACTGTTTGTCTTTATCTTTCATCTTAGTCTGATGAAACCTGTGGATATCAATCCAAATGAAGAATGGATAAATGTAAGTGTTTTAGCTGGAATACACAAGGATACTATAGCTTTTCTTCTTTTCCAGTTTCCAATATTCCCATCTCACATCTCCTCATTGTTTACCTGTGTTATCAGATGGCGATGGCTGGAATTTCTCCACAAATACGTATCCTTTTCATAAATGTAGTCCATTTCACTCTTCGTAGAGTTCGTCAGTTGCAATAATTTTAATTGAAAAAATGTCCGTCTGTATTTGAAAATCTAAAGTCAAGTGCTATAACTTTATCTATCAACTGACATTGTCATTTGCGTTAGTACCAGTTGGTAAAACAACAGTTTAAGGTTTAAAAGCCTCTTTTTTTCCTTAACTGAATCTAGTGATGAAGAGTGCATACCGAAGTGTAATGTTTTACATTGCCCAAAGGGACTTAGAGATGCAGTACAAGATGAATAGAGTTGTTGCACAGTGTAGACAGAAATGTGAAGGTATGCAAGCAAAATTTAGCGAGAAAATGGAGCAGGTGCATACAGCATACCAGAAGATGGGTAAGAGGTGTCAGATGATGGAGCAAGAGGTAGAAAACTTGACCAAGGATAAGCAAGAGCTCCAAGAAAAGTTCTCTGAGAAATCAAGGTCTGTAACTTAAGATACGTGTATTTGTTTTCCTGGTTCTGTTCCCTATATTAAACTCCACTGTAATAACAAGCTACCTTAATTATTTAAATTACCAGACAGAAGAGGAAGCTTGATGAGATGTATGACCAGCTAAGAAGTGAGTATGAGTCAGTCAAACGTACAGCCATCCAACCAGCAAATAACTTCTACCCGCGACACCAGGAAGCCGATTTTTTCTCAAACCCAGCAGTTAACATGATGGAGAACAGAGAGCCCATTCGCAAAGGTTAATTAACAACACTATTTCTGTGCCTTGAACTTAGTGCTCTTATTATTCTGAGTCTTGTTTAAATATCTCCATATCAAGTTGACTTAATTGGTGCAGACCGGTCGTTTTACTCTCCTGCAACACCAGGACCTAAAGATGAGATATGGCCAGCGAGACAGAATAGTTCAAACTCGGGTCCATTCGACATCTCCACTGACTCACCCGCAATTCCATCAGATCTTGGAAACAGAAGATCAGGAGGAGGACATCCTGTATATGGTGGTGGTGGCCCTTCTAATCCCCAATCAACTCTACGCAACCTTATTCTCTCCCCTATTAAACGCTCTCAGCTCTCTCGTTCCCGCCCTCAACTGTTCACGTAAGCAAACTGTAACCTTAAAAATAGACCAAATTGACATCAGGTACATGGGTTGCTTCTATAATAAAAACTTCTTGTTGCTTCTCTTCTCAGGCTATAGCTTAAGGATCAATCTCAAGTGTCCTGAAATTCCTTGGTGGAAGCCCGAATGGTCACAACCAGTAAGTGACTCTTCGTTTTTATAAGCTGTCTGTCTTAGTAAGTAAAAATCAGAGGGAAAATGTAGAATTTGAACAAAAGAAAAAGTCTCGTCTATATAAATAATAATGGTAAATCATATTTTAGTAGAATCAATATAGTGAAACAGCCTACAAGGATCATAAGACAATGAGTAAAATATAAAAAGATATTTCTGTTGGAAGAAAGGCAAAAAGTAAAAAAAAAAAAAAAAACAGTTTATAGTAAGCACTTGTGGCAAAGAGCGTGATGTTCATGTAGGCTCAGGTTCTCTTGTTTGGTTCAAAGACGTATTTGATCAGTGACTCTTTAATGGATAGCATCTCTGGGAACTCCTTGCTTAGTTTAGATCCATCCATTTCGTTGTTGCTTCGAGCAGCAACAATGACCTTTGCTTGTTCTTCCAGTGTGAAGTTGGACCATTTAAAACCTGGCTCGATGTAGTTCTTGTACATCTCCAGTATCTCGTTGTGGCTCACCACCCCTGGGTTGGTGAAGTTCCATATCCCTCTTAGGTTTCTTTTCGCCATCTCGATGGAAATCGGGAGAAGCTCGTCCAGTACGGTCATGCTGTTTGGGATGTTCACCACTTTGTCGTAGCGTGAGATCTTCGTAATGAAGTTTCTCGGGTTGTTTAGGTCTGAGGAGATTGGCATCCGGACTCTCAAGGTACATACATTGTCAAATTCTCTCAAGAGCTCCTCAACCTGGTAGAAAAAACAGAGTAGTTATGAACAAAGATACTTGTGGTTTTTGAGAATGTTGATAAGGTGTACAATATTACCATGGCTTTGGTTTTCGAGTAGAAAGAACCAAAGAAATTTGGCTTGTCTTCTTCCTTGAAACCAATACCCGAACCCTCAGGATGTGTAGCGTCATACTCAAATATGCAACCTGTGGCGAAGTTCATCATCAAGAGATCATTCTCTCTGCAAACATCAGCTAGAGTCAAAGTACCCGCGACATTTACGCGAATGGTCTCTGGCTTGTGAGATTCACACCAGTCAACATTAGGTCTTCCAGTTAAACCAGCAGCATTAAACACATGAGTAGGTTTGATGCTACGAATGTCCGCAATGAGAGAAGCTCTATCCTCTAAACGTCCTTTCCCATACTCATATGTAATCCCTTGCTTCTCACATAGTTTCCCTAGAAGACCACCAAGCCAACCAGTCTTACCATAAATCAAAAACTTCAAGAAAGCTTTGTCACCGGAACCACCACTCCTAGGTGTTACAACCGTAAATGTCTGGGCCGTATTGCTTGACGCGTCTTTCTTCTCACTAGAGCCATCGGAAAGTCTTCCACCGGGCATCATAAGCATTCTAGGATGAGGAAGCAAAGCTCCAGAAACATCACCCCACCACTCAGGATTCTGAGTGTACCAGTCCATTGTCTTCTTCAATCCATCTTCCCATGCGGTTCGCTCTTCCCATCCCAATTTCTTGAGCTTCTGGTCATCAAGGAAGTACCTTTGATCATTAAAGGGTCGATTCTCCACAAACTGAATGCTTGACTCAGGGTCTTTCCCAAATAGTTTGCAGATGTCTCTGGCCACATCGATCACTCTCCTTTCTCTCTTTGTCCCGATATTGTAGACGTGACCGATTTCTCCTTTGTGAAGAACAACCTCAAACGCCTCGGCAACGTCTTCGCAGTATAAGTAACTCCTGACATTAGATCCATCTCCGTGGATAGGAAGCGGCTTCCCACTCATGGCCAACAACATGAACTTTGGAATCATTTTTTCAGGAAACTGGTTAGGGCCATAAACATTGTTCCCACGAGTTGTAATAACCGGCAATCCATATGATCTACCATAAGCCATCACAAGCATCTCAGCACCAGCCTTAGTGGCTGAGTATGGATTAGTCGGTAGGAGCTGCGAAGCTTCATGGTTCCCTACAGCAGCATCCTCATCGGTTTCTCCATAGACTTCGTCGGTACTGACATGGATAAACCTCCTGATCTGTCCTGTAACTTTACAGGCTTCCAAAAGGACATGAGTACCATAAATATTGTTCTTGGTAAACTCAAAGCTATTACCAAAAGAGTTATCAACATGGG